CTTCTTCTTATTTCTTCTTTTAAAATCAAAATCTGTTAGAATGGCTTGTGTCTCTAGGTGAGTAACATTTTCCCCTTTTTTTTTTCTTTCTTTTTGTCCCTGTCCCTTACCATTCTCTCTCACTCCTTTTTTTCCTTTTAGGTGCTGATCAGATAAAGTCCCTATCAGATAAAGTCCCAGGGGCCCTATCATTAGGTGGTGGCCTCCCTCTCCAGGGTGTCCTAACTGCCCTCTGGGGGGTCTGGACTCACTTTCGGGAGGGTGACAGTGGCCTCATCAGCATTGGCGAGGCTCAGAGGCCCTCTGGGAAGTGGCGGTGCTCATATGTGCACACTTTCCCCTCCTAAATCTCTTGTGCATCTGCCTCAGGGGTCTCAGGCGGGGCACGGATGACGTGCTCTCTCCCCCTTTTCTTTTGCATTAAACATTGTGCTTCTGGTCCCCATCGGTGGGATGCGTCACAAGGTCCTCCAGGGGGAGAGGAGCTCTCCCTCCTCCCTCGGGGCAGGCTGAAAAGACGGGAACACAGCAACTCCATTGGCCCCCACAGTGTCCATCAGAGGGACAGGCCACTTCTCTTTGCTTCGATGGGAGTGCAGTCACACCTCACTCCTCGAGGTGCCTTCGTAAACTGGCTCATCAACCTACGCAAGTAACAGCTCAGACTGGCCAGCCCACTTCTGAGTTCTGAACAGGAAGGCACCCAGCAAGTGCAGACGGCAGTCGCGCCAAGCAGCACAAGTGCAGGCCAGCAGGTGGTGGCACCTCCCCAGTTCCACGGCTGTCTGGTGGAACCAGTCAGTAAGCCAAGAGCAGTGGCGCGCCATCTCCTTCCGCCCCGCTCCTGTGCCAGCTATTTTCAAATGCAGGCTTTATCATCATTCAGGTGTAGAGAGGTTGTCGATCGGGAAAAGACTGCCCTTGAAAAGACAGTTTGTCACTCACAGCTCCCAAGAGAAAGGCACCCGCCGTGCCGGGGGTGGGGGCAGAGGGAGTGGGGGGAAAATGTGAGCTGGAGCCTTCACTGGGTTTCTGTGGGCAGGAACAGTCAGGGCAGGGTAAGCAGGCTTGGCATTGGCTCGTCTGAATACCTTCAGGGCTCCGGGACGGAGGGGCTGTCCTAAGTCACCTGTTACCTGGCCCTGGCATGATTAGGCTGAGGGAATGTTGGTCCTGAGTGTGAGAGCCCCATAGAGGAGGTGGGGGGCGTGGGCTCGGGACTGGTTTGTTTGCATCTGAAAAGGAATTGTCTAGTCTTAGGAGGGACAGTCTCTGCAGGGTCTACTAGGCCCCAAGAAGTCAAAGCATCAGAATTACAGAAAATAAAAATGTGGGTGTGAGTACCAGTAACTCCTCCTTCACTGCTGCACGCCTGCAGAGTTTGCACATAGCATGGCCGTCCGTCTGTCCTCCTGTGGCGGGACACTGCAGCCATCTCCGGGTTGTGGCTCTCACCAACAAAGCTGCCATGACTCTTCTTGCATGTGTCTTTTGGTGGATACACACGTTCATTTCTCTTGGTTACAGACCCAGGAGCAAAACCCCTGGAGGAATAAGGCAGATGCAGTGTACCTTTTGCAGATACTCCTAAAGAGTCTTCTAAAGTGGTTGAACCAACTTTTAATGTCGTCGTCACCTTTGCACCTTTCAGTCTGAAGACTCGTGTGTTTCTTCTGTTCTGAGGAATCCTTACATATTGCTTGTTTAACGTGAGTCATTCACTCCTTCCTTCATTCAGCAAATCGTTATTAAGAGCATCTCCTTTGCCAAAACTAGCAAAGAAACAGGGCATTCTACAGGAGAGAGCATGTAATATGCAGCCACATAAATACATGTCGTAATGATTTATTTTAGATAGAGATAGCCCTAATTACATATAATTATAAATTCAAGTGTCACCTCTCCTCCACCCTGTCCTCCTGGAAGTCTCGCTAGCCGGCTGCTGGGATTCTAGAGCTGTCCTTGTGTCTCTATTCCTTCACATGCTCCATTTCAACGATTTTTTTTTTTTTGAGAAAGGGTCTCACTGTGTTGGCCAGTCTGGAGTGCCGTGGCCTCATCATAGCTCACTGTAGCCTCCAACTCCTGGGCTCAGAGGACCCTCCTGCCTCAGCCTCCCAAGTAGCTGGGACTATAGGCACATACTACCATGCCCAGCTAATTTTTTTTCTTTTTTCTTTTTGCATAGAAGTGGGAGCTTCCTATGTTGCCCAGGCTAGTCTGAAATTCCTGGCCTCAAATGATCCTCCCTCCTTGGCCTCCCAAAGTGCTGGGATTACAGGTGTAAGCCACTGTGCTCGGCCATGGGGTTGTTTTTAAACAAGCAATTTTAAAATGTCCATCTCTAGTTTAGTCTTTATTTTTTGTAATGGATGAAACAGGCTGTGTCTCCTGGGAGGTATTATTCTCAGTCTGCAATGCAGTTGCGCTTTCTTCAACAGCTGTCTTTCACGCGTTCGGCTCTTGCCCTCCTTGGGCGCCCTGCCCTTCTTTCGCAGTGTGACTTCCCTCTGCTGCTTACTCAGTCTGGGTCACGGGCTGTTTGACTCTGCTGGCTCTGGGAGGGGTGGGAGGGGCTGCGTGGAATGTATTCTGGCCTGTTTTCTGCAGCACAGGGCAGAGGAGGCCCGTCTGCTGGGCCAGCAGCGCTGCAGTTGACGTTCTGGGTACAGGCATTCGCTGTTCCTCAGGCAGCTGCTGCCACCTGAGCGCTCTGGCCTTGGGCCTGCACCCCCACCTGGCTGCCGCCTGGGGGTCCGGAGGATGCCACGGAGTCGCTGAAGAGTGGCTGCCATGGCGGGGGAGCCCCCTCTTTCCCAATGCTGTTAGGGACTTAATAATATATATGTGCAAAAACCCGTAAAACTTTACTTTTTAAATAAACTTTATTTTTAAGAGCAGTTTTTAGATTTACAGAAAAATTGTGATGATAGTATAGAAAGTTCACATGTAACTCACACCCAGTTTCCTCTGGTATCTTATAATAGTATGGTGCCATTTGTTACCAATAATGAACTAATATAGACACATTACTAACTCAAGTCCATTATTTACTCAGGTTTCCTTAGTTTTTGCCTAGTGTCCTTTCTCTGTTCCGGCAACCCATCCAGGATACCGCTCTATGAACGAATACGTGTTTTCTTCCATTCCCAGGACCAAGGACGGGTGGGAGGTGGGGGGCGATGGCAGGTGGCCCTGGCCAGTACTTCTCCAAACCGAGTTCCTATGGCTGAGCCGCCCGAGGGACTGGGGTTACTTGGCAAGTGCGCTGGACGGGGAGTCACGCATCTGGAGCTCGTAGCCCACTTCAGGCATCACTCCAGTATGTCCCCTCTTTGGCCTCAGTTTCCTCATCTGGAAAATGAGGGCATTGTGCTGGTTTCCTCTGGACAGGCAGTGTCCTGGGATAGAGTGTGGGTGAGGTTTCTGGATTCCTGTCCTGGGGCGGAGGGAGCTGACAGGCTTGGTGGTGTCCCAGAGGGTGGAGCTGGACTCAGGTTCAAGTGACAAGGTGGCAGATCTCACTGAGTTTGACATGGGGGTGAAGGCTCTGACTTTGCAAGATTTTTAAGACAAGGCGCCAAGGTCCTGTCCCAGCTTTGCTGCTTATTCTTGTGTGCCTTAGGCAAGGCCGTCCTTGTCTCTGGGCCTCAGTTTCCCCATCTGTAAAGTGGTGGCTGGTGCGATGGCTTCTGAGGGCCCTTCTGGCTGTGGACAGAGCAGGTGCCCTGGGAGCAATGAGCTTTCTGTCTCTGGAGGTGTGCAAGCCAGGCCGGGTGACCCTGTTGGGAGCAATGAGCTTTCTGTCTCTGGAGGTGTGCAAGCCAGGCCGGGTGACCCTGTTGGGTGCTGCGGGGGTATATGGGCAATGCTGGGCTCTAAGGATCTCCCTGCCGGATGGGGAATCCGGCCTCTGCGCCCTTCCCTTTGCCCATGGCTGACTCAGGGCCTGGCAGCTGTAGGACACCCAGGCCCTCCTTCCTGGCTTATGCCAGGTCTGCCTTGGCCCAGAGCTGAAGGAGGCCTGCCTGTCGTACCACAGCTGGGCGGTGGGCTTCCAGGGGAGGGGAGGGACTCTCCTGCCTTGAGGTGGCTCTGCCTGCTGTGCCGGTCAGCTGCCAGGCAGCTCCCAGCAGAGGCCAGGCTCTGGTCCTCAGGTGTCCCAGGTATACCCTCCAAAGCTCCAAAGGAGTGGGAAGAGGAAGAGAAAAATCCCTGAGAACTTGAAGATGAAGAGCCCTGTGCCCCCAGTCCTCCAAAACCAGACTCTCCATTCAAGAATGTCCAGGTTCTTCCTTGCTTCTGAGCTTTTGCATCTGCTGTTCCATCACCAATGTCCTTCCCTTTTTCTACCTGTTGAACTCCTACTCATCCTTCAAGGCCCAATGCAAAAGTCTCCTCTACTGGATCCTAACTGCTTCAGGGCCTTTCTGTGTCATGGCACGTATCACCTTGAATCATAATGGCCACTTCCTTGTCCTGTGTCCCATCGAGACCTCAAGTTCCCTGAAGCTAGGGTGGGTCTGACTCACCCCCGTAAGGTCTTTGCAGACACATCATCTTCCCTTTGCGTTACTGCGTGAAAGGGCGGGTAGAGGGAGAAAGAATTGCTGCACGGAACCTTTCCTGAGCACCTCCTGTTTACTGGCACAGCCGCGTCCATTCAACTCCCGCCTTCCCTCTCCGCGCCAGCTGGGCGCTATTACCTGCCGGCGGGGCGGGGCCGGGAGCCCGAGGCCTGAACGCGAGCGGCTCCGGGCGGTGGCGAGAACTGGCGCTCGGCCGCCAAGGGGCCCCGGTGAAACCCGACGACTGGCCGCGGGCGAGCCAGGTGGGGAGAAGCCGCGGGCGCACGCGGGCGGCGCGGCCCGCGCGGGGTCTGCACAGCGCCGGACGCGACCCGCAGCTGGGGACCCGCAGGGGCGGCCCCGCCTCGGGCGCGCCTGGCCCCGCCCCCGCCGCCGGCCCGCCCCGCGCCCTGAACTAGACCGCGCCGCGCGGGCCGCGCCAGTGAGCAGCGCCCGGTGCCCGCTCCGGCCCCAGCATGGGCAACAGCGCGGGACGCAGCGACTTCGAGTGGGTCTACACCGACCAGCCGCACACGCAGCGGCGCAAAGAGATGCTCGGTGAGCGCGGGGCTCGCGCCGGGGGTGGGGACAGCTCCGAGGGCCAGTCCGGAGTCGCGGGCGAGCGGAGCCCGCATGGTCGCTCCCGCTCGGGCCGGACACGGCGGGCACTCCCGCATGCCGGCTCCCGAGGGCGTGCGAGTGCCGCCCCTCCGCCCCGCGTCCCGGCCGGGCTCCCCGAGGGCCCCCCGGCCCCGGTCTGAAGCTCCCCCCAGTTCCTGCCTGTGTCCCGGGATGCGACGGATCCGAGGCCCGCGAGCGCGGGAGCGCATCTCAGCTAGTCCTTGCGGGCAGTGGGACAGGAGCCACTCCCGGGCCGGACGGGGGCGGCCCCGGGGACTCGGTCTCGGTGGGGCTCGAGCCAACCCTGCCGCCGAGGCAGCTCCGCGGGCCGGGCGCCGCCAAGCCCGGCCCGAACGCGGGAGCACGAACGCGGAGCGAGAGACACGCTTTTTTCCTTTTGGAAAAAAACCCCGAAGATTGTACCAAAGAATCCCGTCTATTCTGTCATGTAGCTTAAAACTCGGTGGCCGCCCCTCCTTGTCGCTTAGTGGTCTCTGCGAGGTCATTTTTACTACGTGGATTGACCCTCGTTCACCCACGCAGGCGGCCGCATCCAACCCACAGATAGGACTGACCCAGGTGTGCGGTCCTTTACCCGGGATCATGAGTTAAAAGCTTTTGGTAGAAACCACTAAGTCGCAGGTGCGCTGCGGGCTGCGGCACGCCCGCCGCTCCCCCCCCCCCAGACACCTGGCTTGGGCACACCTGCTAATCCTTCTGATGCTTTACCGCCCAGATTGGGGAAACCATGGTTTTTCCTTGTGCGTGTAATTTGCATTTATTTGATGGTGGTTTCAAATTTTAATTGGCCAATGTCTTTTTCTCTTGGGTTTGGTCGTTGGCTTGTTAATTTGTTAGAGCTCTTTGTATAGGAAGCCTTTAACCCTTGTGTTTTATGTGTTGCAAATATCTTCCTGTTTATACTTCATCTTTTGCTATCACAGAGGCTTTGTTTTTTTTTTTAATGCAGTTGAATCAATTGGCCTTACTCCTTAGAGTCCTGCACCTTGGTGTCTTCCTGCCCCACCCCAAGGCTATGGAAATGTTCATACTATGACTTTTAAATCTTTCAAACAAGATACGTTGAATGGCTACAATGTGACTGCACCCCGAAGTAGCTGGGGGTTCAGGGGCTGGAAACCCCTCGGTGGGTTTGTGACTCCGGTGGTTTCCGCCATGAGGCAAGCAGAGCCCAGCTCTCCGTGCTGCTTCACCAGGGGTCTCTCCGCTGTGCTGTGAGCTGCGGGAGCTGGCTGGGAGGGACCTAAGGGGCCATCTGGCCCTCCCTCCCCACTGTGTGAACAGGGCAGGAGGCATCTGGTTATTGCTCAGCAGGTCTCGGGTGGGGCTAGGCTAGAACAGGGACATCCTTGGCCCTGTTTGTTTCTGTCCCCAGCTTCCCCTCAAAGGACTCATTGGGCCCCTGGCCCCAGGTGGTGAAGGCTGGGAGACAGGCTGCCAGCGTCCTGGCCCACAGGAGCTCACGGTCCACAGAGTGGGAGCCTAGGCCTACCTCAGAGCCACCTGGAGGGATCTAGACACTCTGGGCTGCAGCCTCACTTTCCTAGTCTGCAAAATGGGCTGTCATCCACCAGGCAGAGTAGGTGTGAGGATAAAATGAGATCTCAGATGGGAAGGTGCCCAGTACCTGGCAATCCAGGAATGGGGAAGGATGTCTCTCTAAAAAGGGAAACCACAGGCCCTGGAACCAATCTAGGGGGCTTTCTGGAGGGGTGGCTGAGAAGATTGGAAGGCTGGAAGACAGAGGCATCTGGGGCCAGGGCCCAGAGTACCTGTTCTCGAGGCTGGCTCTTTGGGGCCCTTGACCTGTGCTCCTTTGCCATCGGGACCGTGGCTTCCTACCCACCTGACCAGTGTTGAGCTAGTGAACTCGGAGTGTGCTGTTCTCCCTTCCTCCCAGGCACTTGCATGAGCCGTTCGCCTGCGTGAATGTCCTCCTTCCCTGCTCTCGCTGGCTCTCGCTGTCTGTCTAGCTCGTGAGGCAGGACGCCGGCTGCATGAGAGGCCTGGGTTTCCCCTCCACGGCTTCAGCCCTTTGGGCCTGGGGTAGAGGGCAAGAGCTCGGCTGTGGAGCTAATCTCCTGGCAAGGACCCCAACGCCCACTAACTAGCTATGGGTGAGTCAGTAAACAGATCAGGAGATTGAGGCCTGCGCAAATGAAAAGAGGTTAATAATAGCGTCTTCCTTGTGGAGCTGTGCAAATTAAACGAGGGGACGTGTGAAGTGTTTAGCCCAGGACTCAATGAATGTCAGCTGCAATGACAGGCATGGGCAAGGCCTGTGGTTCCCTGAGGACAGGGCATTCCCTTCCACCTCTGCTTTCTTGCTGCCTGTCCTGTCCCCAGACCTGGAGAAATCCCATGTGTAACTGCCAGCATCTCTTTGCAGCAGAGTAAGGGTCAGAGCAGGAAAGCGACTTGCCCAGGGCCACACAGCCTGGAGGCCACAGCAGCCAGGCTGATGCTCAGGCCAACTCCTGCCCTACCCAGCTCGCTGCAACAGCCAAGCTCCTGGGGCCCAGCGATGTTCAATAAAGATCCTAGTCTTGGAGTCAGAACCCGGAAGTCCTTGCAGAGAGCTGGATCCAAGAGCTCTGCCAGTGGAGCCCGAGTCCATCTGCAGCTCCTGCCTGGGACGGGGACATGCTCCCAGGGCACAGTGTCCTCAGAAAGTGGGGTCCCATGGCAGCCCCTAAGAACCGTGTCTCCCCGGTCAGGGCCGAGGCACCCCATCCCGAGAGGGTGAGAACAGAGCCAGGGTGACTGGTTGCAGCAGAAACCAAGTGAGCCATGGCCAGTGGAATAAACAGGCTTTGGATTTGCTTTTTTGAAAAGAAACAGCTTTGTAACTCTGTTTGCTTTTTAAATTATAAAAGCAGAGCACACACAGAAAAAAACATTCAAATAATCAAAGAAAAACAAAAGAGGAAAACCAGGAAGTAAGACTCTTGGCAATCGCTGGATTATTTGCTTAGGAAGGGCCCTGGCTGGGACTCCCTGTGCAGGTGGTAGGTGGAATCCAGAACGGAGCTGGCCGCAGCCACAAGGGGAGTTTGTGGGCCCTCGTCACCCAGCCGTGGAGACACCAGCTACAGGCGGGACCCCTCCCGTCTGCGACCCGGGCCTGGATGCTCACGGACCGTCGGCACATATTTCCAGTGGGGTGAAAAGCAGGCGTAGCAGGAGGCCGGTGAGGCGGCGGAGCACAGTGACTCCTGAAGGCACTGGGGGCCACTTTCTGCATTTTCTGTGTCAAACTGGGTCCCCGAGGTGCCTCCCACACTGAATGGACAGGGTTAGGCTTGTTTTTTGGCTCAAAACCTGAGGTGGCAGCGGTAGAAGCTGTGGGAAGGCAGGTTCCTAGAGCATCAGGCCAGAGCTGGAAGGAAGATGTTTAGGAAGAGGGGTTAAAAGGGCGTCGGGGGTCTTTGCGAAGAGAGGCGTGGCCAGGGTCCGGTTACTCTGCTGCCGGTCAGGGAAAGGCCAGGAGGCCACCGTGAGATGTCATATCTAAGCCTTTCCTGCTGAGGCCACCAGGTGGCATCATTGACCCTGAGCAGCTTTGTGGTCGAGCAGGAGCTAGGAAGCAGGTGGCAGCAGATTGGAATGTTGGAAACTTGGGGAGCACTTGGGTGATGATGAGGACTACCTCCCCTGTAGCTAGCAAGTGACTGTCACTTGATGGCAGTTGGCCTCCCTGGGAAAGTGGCAGGAGCATCCAGTTCTGGATGGTGCCATGCATCCCCACACCCTGGCACCTGCTGCATCCTCCTTCCCCATGTTCCCCCAGGAAAGACCCCTCCTCTGTGTGCTCACAGTGCAGGAGCTATCAGCACAGACACCTTAGAGGTGGAAAGCGAAGAGACAGGCCCAGAGAGGGACAGTGGCTTGCCCAAGGGCACACAGCGGTCAGACTGAGTCCAACCCAGCATTTTCTCTGGGTGCTTTGCTCCAAAATAGCCCACTAGATATGTGCTGATAATCTGAGTCTGTGCCAGGATCCCAGCTTAGTATTGTGCTGGCCTGGAGAAGGGTCCTGAGTTCAAGTCTTGGCTCTGTCTTGCTGTGCCTTGTTGGGCCCTTCCTTGAGCCTCCCTGGACCTCAGATTCCTCCTTCCTGTGTCATACCTGGACGACGTGACTTCTAGCAATGCTGTTGTTTGTGGCCAGCTGCCCAGCTGTCCTGGGCCCCAGCTGGGGCCACTGCTAGAAAACCATTTATGTGGGTTTGTTGCCCTTCAGTCCCACGTGGCTGTGCATGTCGGGCTGCTGGGTACGCTATGGAGCAGGGAGCGCTGGAGGCGCGCGTGTAGCCCAGCTACCTGCCATCCAGGCCGGGGGCCCGAGCAGGCAGGGTCACACCTAAGGTCAGCCGAGCGCCCACAGCCAGGTAGAACCAGCTTGGCTGGGCCAGGTTTGGGTGTCCAGCCAGGGCCAGGCCCTGCCCATGCTGGCCTGCCGTTCCTCGTGGGGCTGCCAGGGCACTGTGCTGCTCCCCCGCTGCTCCCCCTCAGGCTTTCCACCTCTCCTGCGGCCAGAAAGGATGGAGTGCAAGGCCAGAGCCCAGCGGCTCCCTGCCCAGTCCCTCCCACTTCCCTGTATCCTTCCCTCTGGCCCCTAGAAGAGGCCCCGTATTAGTGAGGTTGTCCAGAGAGACAGAAGCAACAGGATCGTAGGATCTCGTGCTCTCCCTGTCCACGAGAGAGGGTTTATTAGGGGAACTGGCGCACACGATTTTGGAGGCTGAGCAGTCCCACGACAGGCCTCTGCAAGCTGGATTCCCCGGGACGCTGGTGGCTCAGTCCGAGTCCAAGAGCCTCGGAACCGGGGAGGCCGATGGTGTAATTTGCGGACGAAGGCCTGGGAGCCGGGGTGGGGTGGGCACAAGTCCTGGAGTCCAAAGGCTGCGGTTCTGA